TGAAGCGAGGTTGCCTTGGAGTTGTAACTGTAGATTTGTGCGAATTAGCTCTCGGCTAATCATTCTGCCAACCCTATGAATCCGTCATGTGAAGGCCATCATCTGAGCAGGTCATCATGCTTTACCATAATGGCTGCAAGCCTTCCTACTTAATGAAACATATAAGTAGGCTGGATATTATATGCTTCGCTGTTGACATACTTCTGATTTTTTTAAAAAGGCGAATGAAAGAGATTCGTAAATTAGCCTCACCGGACACCGAATGAGGGTTGCCATGAGCTTGTGACTGTTGGATTGTACGAACAAGACCTCGGCTCACCTTTCTGCGACCCCGAGTCATCCGTCATGTGACGGGCAACATCAGAGCCAGAAACAATCATTTACGAGCAATGACAAAACAACAAAATCCAAGAAGGATGGCCGGCTGAAATACCAATAACTCCTTAGACCCAACTTTGTGATCATAATAAGGTATTACATGATTTGGTCGGCTGCTTTATGCTTGTACTACATGCATGTATGCTAGGGAAGTTGATACAGGAAGGGGAGCAGCGTATGTGGTCACAGCTTTTCTTTAGGTAAATCCACTAGCGTATGATTCCAAGAAAAATCCCGCTTATTCTAGCTTCGTGTGTTGATACATGTTCGTTGTGAGTAGGCAATATTCATGAGTTATTTGACATACTCGGTGGCTCTTCCTGTCCCCTCTTTTTTCTCTATATTTCTCGGTATCTTTCTCTTTCTCGCACTCTAATGCTATTCAGCAGCCAGCGTTAGTCCCTACATTCGTTCCTATTATTCAATATTTTATTTATTTTATTTATTTCAATCGAATCCCTGATCTTCCGCTTTATTGTGAACTCCTATATCGTGCAAAATAGTGGAGTTTAGACCATTTTATTTGGTGTCCTGTACTGATAAGATATTCAACCATTTCCTATGTCTGAATCCATAAACCTTTTCAGGCGTTATGGGTCAAAGAGTTTCCCCTACACAAATACTACCACATAGGCACAAAACCTTATAACAACTTGATCTGCATAGGGCGTATGAAGATTCTCTAGAAGAGTGCATGACCGATGAAAGCCTTAGTATTTCTTTATACATTGTCCGGATGCTCCAGTTTCTCAGTAATCCACCTATCTTTTTTGAAAGTTGACAGGATGGTAGCATTAGGGACCTTGACGAAGAGTTGTGCAATTTCCTGTTTTGTCTTAAATAATAGTTTCCTCTTACCATATTTTTATTATTTCGAAATTAGTAACGACTGATCCTAACGGGTAATTGTCTACTTAACATTTATAACTCTTGTTCCCAGTGATTTAAGTCCGCTAGACGCAAACTACATACTATAATTGAATTCATTACTCCTACCTTATCACCATAAGTATGATTTGAGAAAAAATTAAGAAGCAAACCCGCATTTGTACGATTCATATACAAAGACCTACTCAGTTTGCTTGGTTTTTTAACGACTATGACATCTGAAAAGTGTGACTTACTGCCCTTTTCCAACTCCATAGCGAATTCAGTCGTTCTATCTAATCTATTCATTAACCTAAGGAAGTCTTCCAGACTCTCCTTGTCATGCTGCAGATAACAAAGTAATCGTCCATATGTTTGACTAATAATTTCGGAAGTAGGAGTGCTTCTTGAAAAATCCGGACTTTTAAGTGTGTCATGTAATGATTAATTAAAACTGAAGACAAACGAGATACCATAACAAAAGTTCTACTTTTTTCATATAATTACCCATTAAAGGTAAAATATTCATTAGTAATTTCGTCAATCCTGTGATTGACTCGTTGCTTATTTTATTTCCCGACAATATTACTCATAAAGCTTCTCTCCATATCAAATGTTTTCTCACAATGTTAGCTGAAGATGAAGTGTGAAAGGTTGTAAATGTGGTCGAACAACTATATTCTCTTCCCTATCTTTCTTTCCTTTTCTCTCTCACACACACACACACACACTGTCTGTATAATCCTATTCAGCAGCCACAAATAGTTTCCTCTTAGTTTCTTAAGCTCATTCCTTCTGCTTATTTTGTTGCTTGTTATGGTTTCCCTAATCTTCTGCCTGCCTGTATGCTATCTATATTTTGCTAAATGTGTGGCTTTAGATCAGTCTATCTTGTGTTCTGTGTTCGGCCAGTTCTGATTTTTCGGCCCACAACCCTATGTGGGCTGTTTAGTGTGAATATAATCTCTTTTGTATAAGTCGGCAGGTCTCCCCCACATAATCGCTACCACATGAACACAAAACTTTGTAGCAGCCTGATTTGGAGAAAGGGTCAAAAACTTCCCGAAAACATGGAATTATGGAGGAAAGTGTTATTTTCTCCTTATACTTTGCCCTGGTCTGCCACTTTCTCATTAATTTGCCTCTTTTTCGAGAGCTGACTCGACGGTAACATCAGGACCATAGTGGACTGGTCCAGCCCCCTATCTGGCCCCAAATAAATGCTTCCTTTCATCAAAGCGATTGTCAATTAAACCTAATGGGTGATCGTTCTCAACCAAAATTTTTCATAATTGCCTTAATTCCTGCTCCCGATGATTCACATCTGCTATTCACAGACTCCTTATTATCATGGATTTCATAACTCTTATTCCAACCCCATAAGTATCGTTCGATAAGAAATTTAAAAAGAACTCCTCGTTTGCCGGTTTCTTGTATACATTTCTGCCCAGTTTGTTGCCCTTCTTGCTAACTATGACATCTAGAAAAAGTAGACCACCATTATTTCCCAATTCTATGATGAACTTGGCCTTCACGTCGATTCTACTCATTAACGTCGGGAAGTCTTCTACGCTTTTTTTGCCGTGTTGCTAAGCGGCAAAATAGTCATTCACATACTTAACCAATAATTTAGTAACGAACAGTGTTGCTATGTGGTAAAATTGGGGACAAGCATGATCCCATGGCTTGTTATTTTTCTTTAAAGTCGATGTACACTAACATTCTCGCAAGCGAAGCTACAAAGGCTCTCGAATAAGCGTTGGATAAACGTCCGGATATTTTAAGAAGTACATATTTAGGTAAAGAGACACTAATAATGTTGATAAATTTAGTGATGAGCTGTATCTGGTTTACTTTCAATCGCAGATTGTATGAAAAAACAAGAGGTTAGGGAATCGTGTTTGTTCATACTTTTAGCAAATGACTACATGACTCAAGTAGAAAGTCGCCTGATACACGAGCACTTTTATGGAAGTTGTTTGACCTTGTTTTCTCAACTTGGCCATATTGGTAGGAAGACTTAGAGGAACGCACCTAGTCCGAAGTCCATTGAAGGCATGCTGATTTACAGATTCGGACTATGGACTTGGTACATTCCCAGACCTTTCTTCGGCATCGTAATCGGCATCCTCAGTAAGTCTTGCCATTGTTAGCACAACACTACAACTCGTCAAAGAGACAATTAAAGTCGATTCTTTGACCGAATGTGTGCTCACTGACAATGCCGACTACGATGCTGGAAAAACGTCTGGGAATGTACCAAGTCCACGGTCCAACTCTGGAAATTATCATGCCTTCAATGGACTCCGGACTTAGTGCGTTCCTCTAAATCTTCCTACCAATATGACCAAGTTGATGAAACAAGGTCAAACAACTTCTATACATCGAAAGAAGACCGCGACCATACAAAAGACCACACCATCTTGGTCTAAATATCTTCAAATAGCACTTTTAGTTCCAAAATTATGGCTTCGCTATTCGGATGACTACCTGGCCGCTTGGCAACACGGTTAAGTCTCTGGTCTGGGTTCGGCCACTTCTGGTCGCCGGACTCAGCTGCTTTTACATACATTTTTGTGTTCCACTAATCTTGGGTGAAAGTCTTCACATCAATGCTGTCTTAAGGGAAACTCATAGAATTGCACCTTCTCTTTGCTTCACTTCTCTTTTGACTCCACTTTCACCAGGCCAAAGAGACCTTGCGTTTGGAGCTCGAGGCTCAGGAGACCCGTCGTCAAGCGGTGGTGCAGGCCGAGGCCAATTTCGATGCTGGACTTTGCCGAATCTCCGGATGGCTGCAAACAGTGGAGCAAGTCACTCTGACTCCAGCCGAACAACTTATGATCACGCCTCAAATTGTCACTTCACAAGCATCAGTCGTTGGAGCGACAGCCCCCACAAGCGAGGCTGATGGATCGCTGTTCGAGAACAGTACCCAATGCGCCGGCAGAGGAGACTCGATGTCACCCACTTTATCCTCGGCCGAAGGGGACATAGGCGATGCAGAAGGACTTTCGGAGACGCCGGCTATGCTTTGCACAAAAGAGAATCTGGAGCAGTTGTTGGCCCAGCTGGAGACGGTCAGGCTGGAGGAGGGAAAGGTGAGTGTTTGGTGGGAAAACTTAAATAGTTTGTCGGGCTTTGCCAATTTAGATTGAATATTTGTTGGAAGGAGGGCGAGTGTGAACTAAAAGAATAGGTAAATTTTGCAATTTATTTTTATTTTATTATCTATTTAAAAAAAGCCAACTGCTCATTCAGCCTAGATGGCAGTTGAGGCCTTGTAGCAGCGACATCATCAGCGCCCTCTACGTATCAATGGGCAAGCCCATGCTCTCCACCAAATTAGATAAGCTACTTAATTCATCGTAAGTAGCAGACCAATTATTACAGCTACCAGAAGGCTAAAGGTGATTAAATATATGAAGACCAAGATGTTGTGGCCTCTGGTGTGGTCGCAGTCTCCTTTTGATTGATAGAAGTGG